ACTACTCTCTCTCTCTCTCTCTCTCTCTCTCTCTGCATGCGCTCTACTGAAAGTAGAAATACAGTGAACAAATCAAAGAGAATATTTACCTGCTGCCGAGCCAACAAAAGATGTTCTGCTTCTGTTTCAACCTCAATCAGACCTTGTTCTATGCGCTGCATGTCTGGATCCATTTGATAAAGTCTATAGAACTATGTCCTTCACAAATTCCCCAGAATAATCTGCAAAACTAAAACATTTTCAATCTCATGTAAGTACCATTAATCAAATTAACTATTCTTTCACAGGTCAAGTAGCTCTTTAAAGCATAATTTACTGGTTGTCAATGAGCACATAATCCAATAGGCTATGGAAAATCGGAGTCCATTGGGATCATTGTTGTCCCATAAAATAATGGATGGTGATGGTGAGAGATTGGAACCAATTCCAATAGACTTCTCCATATTCCCTTGGTTTTTCAAATGGGTACCCTATTCACATAGTACGTCTTCCCTTGGTTTTTCAATGGGGACCCCATTCACATTACACAACCCAACTCCCAACCCTTAAATTCCAGTCTATCGAGATGCCACTATAACACTCATTTTGATGAAATCTTTCAGCACCATCATTCCCACCTTCAATTCTGTTATTTCTCATATTCCCTAAAACAAATCTCACAGCATCACCAAATGAAGAATCATAGAAATTCGATTCGCAATTGATCCCCACCATATAAGTATGCCAAAATTCGCGAGTCAAGAATTAAAATGCATGAGGTTTTACAACCAAAGCTCATATGAAAGATAAATTTCATCTTCCATCACAGAATTGGGCTTGCAACTTTGGATCCATTTTTGCACCTCATATAAAGCTCAGCTTCATTCTCCTAACATGCCTAAAATGTTCCAACTTTATAATTATCAGGGAGATTAACCGACATACACACTCGAAGAAAGTTTTGTGTGCGATTCAGATTCAGATTTAGATTTCCTTTATCTCAACAAAGAAATAAATAAACAGATAAATGAATAAATAAACCTGGGAATCAATGACAAACTTTCCGAACCTATTCTAGGCTGTTATTAAGTTCCTAAGCAGCCAATGGAGGACTTAACAAAATGCCTATACTAAGCTTCCCAAATGTATAGGCTATTGCACTGCAAAATGAAACCAACAAGCTTTAAACTTCAGAACAACAACATATTCAACAATTACCTTGATAAGAAGACCTCTCATTGGAAATGGGGTTCCCTTGACTTTATTTCTAATGTGTTGCTTTACTTTACAAACTGGCACCTAAGTATCGATTGGATATCAAGGTCTCCTGAGAGGTATAGATGGTAAAATGAAAGTTGAGGCCCTTTTACTCGTATTCAGTGCTTAAAGTACGATGCCCTGAAAGGTACTCTCTTGTTTAAGCATGTTGTCGTTGTGCATACACACTGCCTCAATTTTGAGGAGCAACAACTTTCCTGAAACCCCAATCTAGCTGCTTCAGAAAACATGAAACCCCCAATGGTCTACCATACAAATCTTGCATATTTGAGCACCTTTCAGTTCCATTTGGACATCAAAAAAAGCTAACTATCAACACTATTCATGCCTAGTTTTCATGATCCTTGAAGCTTGACAGGTTGGTCATGACTTGAAAGCTTGACAAATTGTGAACTGCCAAGCTAGACACCTTGGTATAAAAATAAGCACTGGAAAGCTTTGACACTCCAAATAATGCATTTTTAAGTATTCTTTCACAGCAAAGAGTCATTTTCGGAAACGAGATCCATATTACAGGTCCAAAATAGGGTAATAATTGCCTTTAGGGTACTATAGCCCTCAATGGCAGCTCTGAGAATGTTTTCACTAAACTTTGAAGTGTCTTCTTGGAAAGCCGTCGAATGGCTACACTATAGCAGTTCTACACTTTTCCTTCAACGCTAGGGTATATACAAATGGGAACCTAAAGGGAGAGTTTCCATATTACTAAAGCACACAGTCGAAGCGGGAAAAACACAGTGATACCAAATTGTTTGGCATTAGAAGAACTAATGAGGAACAGAGAAATGAGTTCCACCCATAGTTAGCAAATTGCCATTTGATCGGCGATTTTTTTCAAAAAATTGTCGTTTTTATGGAAACAGTTTTAAACGGCGACTTTTTTAAAAGGTCAGAAAACAATCGCCTAGTTTTCATAAAAACGTTTAAAACGGGCTTTTTTCATTATACGATTTAAATCGGGCCAAAAAATCGTATCTTTTTTAACCATAATTTTTTTTTGAAAGATTTTTTTTTTTTTCCTGTTTTGTGTATTGCAGCTATTGCTACTTTCATACTTTTGAAAAATAAAATGTATTTCAAAAAAAAAACAAAAATATAAATTTGTATCCCCACTGTGTTCTTCAAAGCCACAGTTGCAGATTGAAGGTATGAATTTTTTTTCCCTTTTTTTTTAAACTTAAACAAATCGATGCAGATTTCAGTTGTTATTATGGAAAATCATTGTGTAAATGAAATACTGTTTATAGCAAATCAACTTGTAAAGTAAATCATTGTGTAAAGAAAATCATATACGTGCAGATTTCTGTGATAATTGTTTTTATGAAAATACTGTTTATAGCACAAATTCGAGCTCAAAACATAGTCTTTTACTGATGAATAAGAAGTAGAGAATGTGACTATAGAACCAAGTAATTAGTCTTTTGTTTTTGATTATGTGATAACAAAGATAAACAATATAGTGTAAACTATAAACTTAGAGGAGCATGCAAGCAATTGTACATATAGGATTAGTTCCCCAAACCTAATCCTTCAGCTCTGCTTGTTGTTTCCCAAAAAAATGAAATACCCTCTTCCTTTTCTCTCTCTAAAATCAGTTAGGGCCTCTTCACAAATCAGTATAGTTAGGGCCTCTCCACAAATGCAGAGCTGTTTCTCCAAGAAAATGAAAAACCCTCTTCCTTTTCTCTCTCTAAAAATCCACCTAGGGCCTCTTCACAAATCAGTATAGTTAAGGCTTTCTCTCGAACAATATCCCAAATCAAAGAGCTTCAAACTATCCTAAATCAGCATCTCATCTTCGTTTTCTCTCTCTTAAAGCGTCTTCCAATAGTGTTCATTTTCTCTATCTCTGTTTGATAACCGGAAGCAAGTTCATGAACTGCAAATTGGAAGTTCCTGAAGAACTATAAATTAAAAGTTCCTAAAGAAGTTCCTGGTTTCTGTATTTGATAACCTCCTGAGAAGTTAAAGAATAAGTGGGTATCTGTATTGGATTAGCTTTAAGTAATAGGCAAGATGTAAATGTTAAAATTGACACCTATATATTATTTATTTTTTATTAATTCGTAGAATATTATTTTTTGGAATACAATATCAATTGAAAGTAAAGTACAATATTATTTTTCTGTAATAACTTGAGCACTACTTACATTCACCACTGATGCATCCATATCCCAACGTAAAAACTTTAAGTCATTCACAAGTCATGCACATAACATTTGTGTGTTCTCTCTCTCTAAGATTATAATGGCACACAACATTTATATGCTATCTATTAAGGCATTTGTGATGCATGTCGAGCAACATTCACAATTCATGCATCAATATATAACCGTGTACAAAACCAACCCATTCAACAATAATCTGTAATAGTTTAAACATACATAATTGAAAATGCAAGCAAGCAGTAAGAAATCAGCCCATTTAACAATAACCTGTAATAACTTGAGCACTAATTACATTCACCACTGATGCATCCATATCCCAACCTAAAAGATATACGTCATTCACAATTAAAAAAAAAACGTCATTCACAAGTCATGCACACAACATTTGTGTGTTCTCTCTCTCTCTCTAAGATTATACTGGCACATAACATTTGTATGTTATCTGTTAAGACATTTGTGATGCATGTCAAGCAACATTCACAATTCCTGCATCCATATATAACCATGTACAAAAGCAGCACATTCAACAATAACCTGTAATAGTTTAAACATACATAATTGAAAATGCAAGCAGTAAGATATCAGCCCATTCAAACACACATGCACAATGCAAGCAGTAAAAAATCAGCCCATTCAACAATAACTTGTAATAACTTGAGCACTACTTACATTCAACACTGATGCATCCATATCCCAACCTAAAAATATATGTCACCTACAATTCAAAAATATACATCATTCACAAGCCATGCACACAACATTTGTGTGTTCTCTCTAAGATTATAATGGCACACAACATTTGTATATGTTAAGACCATTTGTGATGCATATCAAGCAACATTCACCATTCATGCATCCATATATAACCATGTTCAAAACCAGCCCATTCAACAATAACATGTAATAGTTTCAACATATATAATTGAAAATGCCCCCATCATAGCTGTAATAAGAAATGATAATGTTGGTAATTCATGCATTTCTTGTTTGCATAAAAAGATATAAACAAACCCACATCATAGCTGTATATCTTAGAAAAAATATATCAAATTTCATGAACCCATAAGCATTATTCTTAAAAAAGAAAGGTAACAAAATGAGGATGGTAGCTACAACATTCATAATTGGAGCTAGTAAAACTCAACAAACCCAAAAACAAAAATCACAAAAAAGTAAGCAAGATTATTCTCAATTCCAGTAAAATTCAACATTTTATTCACAAATAGGAAGCAAGATTAGCACTATATCATAGAGACAATAGTTAAAAATCCAAATACAAAAATAACCAAAAGTAATAAGAAAATGAAAATGTTGGTAATTCATGCACATCTTGTTGCATAAAAAGGTATAAACAAACCCACATCATAGTTGTATATCTTAAAAAAAATATATCAGATTTCATGAACCCATAAGCATTATTCATTAAAAAAAGAAAGGTAACAAAAAGAGCATGATAGCTACAGCATTCATAATTGGAGCTAATTAAAATTCAACAAACCCAAACATAAAAACTAACAAGAAAGTAATATTCCTATAGTTATCTACTCATTAAAAAAACTCCCACACCATATGCATCGAGAAACTCTTGTAGCTTTTCAAAAAACATAAAAACTGGCCACTCCTGTAGTTTTTCAAACAACATAAAAAATGGCCACAAGTTGCATTCATTTGCTGCTTCTTCAGTATTTTTATCTCTTTGTTTTGTTAACACTTTGCAGAAGTCGTTGTTGGAACGACTCAAAAAAGCAAATTCCAGAAGTTGAAAAGCAAAAGAACAAATATGATAAACTCCAGCCAGAAAGGATCAAATCAAATAGCCAGTAACAAAATATTAAATAAGAAGGAATTGAATAACCAAAACGGCTCAAATAACCAAGAACCAAGAAACACAAACCTCGTAGAAACCAATTAAAAATATATCAGGCTGCCATCTTCCTGAAACCAATCGTATATTCAATCTCTCTATTCAAAACATGTGAACTAAAGTTACCGTAAGTAGAATCCTTATTTGGCCACTTTACAAGAATGAATAAGAAAAAAAAAAAACGAAAGTGAACACCAAGAACCTCTAATCACCCAGTAAGATGCAATCATGCCAAGAAGGAACTCAAAATAACTCAGTAAGATGCAATCATGAACCTTTAATTTTAATACACATGCTGCAAATTAACTCAAAATATGCCAAGAAGGAAAACATGAAATGCCTAAATCGAGTAAGATGCAATCTATTAACAAATTAAATATACCAAGAAGAAAAACATGAAATGCCTTACTCGAGTAAGATGCAATCTATTAACAAACTTCACAAGACCGAATCACTTTGCTTTATCCAATGTTTGAAAATGGGGCTCTGGAGAAGGAACTCACCCCGTTGCAACTTAGAAAAATCTTAATCAACTCATCAAAGTCTATGCTGAGTAACCCAATGAGCCAAATAAACACACAAAATAAAAGGACTCAGATTTTAGTACAAACTTTTTGAATAATCAGTTTGTAATTGAGCTCTATTTTTTTTGCAACTGACTTCTGATATATTGAGCAGTTGTGAAAAATCTGTAAAATCGCCAAATAAACACACAAAAAAAAGGACTTAGATTTTATTACAAATTGTTTGAATAATCAGTTTGTAGCTGAGCTCTATTTTTTTTGTAACTGAGCTCTGACCTATTGGGCTGTTGCGAAAAATCTGTAAAATCGCTAAATAAACACAAAAAAAAAGGACTCAGATTTATTACAAACTGTTTGAATAATCAGTTTGTAACTGAGCTCTAATTTTTTTTTGTAACTGAGCTCTGATCTATTCGGCTGTTGCAAAAAATGTGTAAAATCGCCAAATAAACACACAAAAAAAATGACTCAGATTTTATTACAAACTGCTTGAGTAATCAGTTTGTAACTGAGCTCTATTTTTTTTTTGTAACTGAGCTCTGATCTATTGGGCTGTTACAAAAAATCTGTAAAATTGCCAAATAAACACATAAAAAAAAGGACTCAGATTTTATTACAAACTGTTTGAATAATTAGTTGGTAACTGAGCTCTATTCTTTTTGTAACTGAGCACTGATTTATTAGGCTGTTGTGAAAAATCTGTAAAATCGCCAAAGAAATACAAAAAAAAAAAGGACTCAGATTTTATTACAAACTGTTTGAATAATTAGTTGGTAACTGAGCTCTATTCTTTTTGTAACTGAGCACTGATTTATTAGGCTGTTGTGAAAAATCTGTAAAATCGCCAAAGAAATACAAAAAAAAAAAGGACTCAGATTTTATTACAAACTGTTTGAATAATCAGTTTGTAACTGAGCTCTATTTTTTTTGTAACTGAGCTCTGATCTATTTGGCTGTTGCGAAAAATCTGTAAAATCAGAAAT